TGGATTGTTGAAGAAACGCAACACTAATTCCAGCCGGCCATCGAAAGCAGTCCTGTGTCCGCATATAATAATTGGCTCGCGTTTTTTTTTCCACCGTCCGTGTGTGGGCGGCCAGAAAGCGTGACGCTGGCCTCACTTCCGTCCGCACCGGAGGCGCACGCCTAATGGAACCTTATCACCGTGGAATAGGGACCGATATCCAACTGCCCGCCGAGATGTATGCCAGTATCGCACAGACACAGAACCGTATTCAGTGATAAACATTTTATTAAAACGCAATTAATCGGCGCGGAGCTTTCGGTGAAAACCGCACCTTAGTGCGTTCGCTCTGCAATACTCAAGGCGTTTCGAGATGCGATACGTTGCGTAAAATGAAATATATTTAATTATCGACTGTAAGATGATAAATCTGTTTTACTGTCCCTGATACATTCATGTACATTTCATCATATTTCGAAAAAACTGGTCAGTTGTGCGTACGCCTACAAACGTTTTTACTTGACTGTACTAAGAAAAATTAGTCACTATATATTTCGAGACTTAGCTAGTAATTTTAATGCACTACTAGCTGGAACACTATTTATATTGCTATTCTTTTTTTTATGTCAGAAAGTTCCAAACGAGCCGGCGGTTCACCTGATGTTAAGTGATAACCGCCGCCCATGAACAGTTGCAACACCCTTAGGGTTGCAAATGCATTGCCACCTTTTGATAAAGTGGGCCCGGCTACCTCACTCACCAGACGAAACGCAGAAGTCTAACATATACTTTAAGCCGGTCTTCTGTGAGGTCGTGGTATCCGGACGGACCTGCCCATTCGTGCAACGGGAAACACTGTTGCGTGGTCTTACCACAGTTAAAATTATTCTACTTATTTGCACACTCACTCGAATCTAAAACGTTTATTTGTCAAAATATGTTTAGACACATATAATTTGTGTAGTGTTAGCGTTGATTAGCGAGTTGCAAATGGTGATAATTTGTGGGGCACAAATTCGTCTAACGTAAATGTTTTACAAAATATTTATAATGTAATAATGACCACTGATTTTTTGTTTCATACTTAAATTATGGCATAGTCATTAAAATAATGGTTAGTCAAATGTCTTACAGGTTATGTAGTTCAGTTAAGAGCTATGTAGTTCATTTAAAAACTTATTACAGACATTATAACGTGTATCTTGTATCTTGTATTAACTGATGTTTGTGCTTTCAGTCCCGAGACTATTAAAGCTTCATCTGACGCAGAACCGGTGGACTAGCCAAACCCACGGGTTTGGGCCCTCCGCTGTGGGTAGGGCCATGCATGTGACATTATAACTATACTCTCTATGTATAAAAAGTTTTTCAAATAAATCCTCGTAAAGACCGCTCCGGCCTACACAAATATTTTACATATCTGTTGATTTGTTTCGTTTTACTTTTCAGCCGATTTCAAAAAAGCATTAGGTTCTCAATTCGACTTAATGTTTTTTTTTTATGTTTGTTACCTCAAAAGTTTCGTTTTGTTTCGAGTTCGTAAGTTTTGATTTTGATGTTTTTTTTTATTTGAAAGCTGGTGTTACCTTTGTGTTCCCATATTAATTTCATTGGTATTGGATCTTGGGCCCTGAAAATATTTAGGGAACTCCTGAAAATCCATACTAATATTATCAATGCGAAAGTAACTCTGTCTGTCTGTCTCGCTTTCATGCCAAAACTACTGAACCGATTTAAATGAAATTTGGTACACAGATAGTCTACGGCCTGAGAAAGGTTATTTTTTAATTGGAAAAATATTTAAAATTTATTGAAAAGGGTTGAAAATATCTTTCTTTAAAAACATATATATATTTTTAAAGAAACATATTTATTTAAGGGCGTCAACGCGAGCGAAGTCGCCGGCGGAAATCTAGTCAACTATAAAATTAATACAGAGCGAGATATTGGAAGTCGGTTTTGTATCGTATGGTCACAACGTCTATCTGGTGGGAAACGCCAAAAGGCGTTCGAAGAGACCTTTACTTTAACGGTGGCAGCACTTATTAATAAATACGGGACATGTATACAGGGATCAGTCGAAACGGGACAGAGCAAAGGGCGGGAAGTAAATTGAAAGGCATTCGCTAGTGTTCCCGTTCGGAGGGCCGATGGCCGACAACTCCCGCGGGATTAGGGATGGACTCGACGAATACGGGCATTCAACGAGCGCGATATTTATAAATACCGTTAATAAATACCGATCACTCGCTTTACGAGCACCGATAGAAATCCAGAAACGGCCCACCGTAAGTTACGTTTTTTTTTATGTGAAAATTTTCCAAGCGAGCAGGCGGTTCACCTGATGTTAAGTGAATACCGCCGCCCATGGACATCTGCCACACCCGAGTGTTGCAGATGCGTTGACAACCTTTTGAACATTGGGCTCCGGCTACCTCACTCACCAGACGAAACGCGAAAGTATTATACCCCCACTTGACGCCGGTCTTCTGTGAGGTCGTGGTACTTACCCGGACGAGCCTGCCCATTCGTGCAACAGCCGAGGCTGCGTGGCCCTACCACCGTAACACGTTAAACGCTTTTCTACATTCGTGCACAACACTTTAACAAAGTCTGATAACTACAGTCTTGTTCTAAAACTAGAGCGCTGCTGTTCACACTTAATACTTGTAGTTACAAAAGTGCTTTGTTTTTTTTTCTTTTTTGAAATTGGAACGCCGCAGTGCGCCGCCACTGGCCCATCACTATCGTCCAGTTTCAATTTAAAACAGACAATGGCCTCCGCTGACAAGTCCATTCGTATCATTCTATGTTTTCATATTTGTATTGCTCTATTTTAATCTGATATCGCTTCACTGTTTTTCCATATTTGCTTGAAATAGGTACATATTTTTTATTCTAGAATATCTGTTCTCTTTGTATATTTTAGTGAAACTTTTCATTTTAAAGAAAGATTGTTCTGTGAAAGATATTTAACTAATTTTAAAAAAATATGTGCAAACGAATGATCTTACATTAATATTAAAGATTTTTTTCTCAATTTTCATCTGAAAAGTTAGATTTTCTTTTAGTGGTTTTCATAGTAATCATAATGGTCATAAGGAACTTGGTCAAGTTATGATAACGTGACAAATGGCTTTTTAGCTGTTAAGTTATACGTCCATATTTATGATTATGGAAGCATTTGTCAAAATTGGCGATAAATATTGTAAATCAAAATTTGGAAAGAGAAAATCGGTTTTACTTCCTAATCGATCTAATAAATAAAGATTTACCGAATGAACAGGGAAACATTTGATAAGGAATCGTTACACATCGATTGGTTTACCGCCACGTTGACACAGACGATGATTAGACCTTTCAATATGATTCGAATATACTGACAAGATGTAAATTCAGACGACACATCATTTTAAAGTAGGGTGATATAAACATTAGACATCTATTTATCAAAACTAACGTTAGTTCTTCCGCGTCGAGGCCGACAAAAGGCCACATTCTGACACAAAGCCGCAATTACAAGCGCATTTTACTAAAAGTGGATTGTGCCATAGAGTTGCGAGTGACGCGAATTACTAAAGATAAAGAGTACAGCCATTCAGGGCTGTCAAAAAATATAGTGATCATGTTGTATACACGTGCTATTTAAATATTTAACAAAACTAAGACAATAATTTTAAATACTTATTACTTTTACTTTAAACAGATTAAATATTTTTTTTTCTATTACTAGTTATATCATTAACAAGGTATTAATGCAATCTAATCGAACTGATGAGGCAGGTATTCAAAAATCATTTTCAACATATCTACAGCAAATAAATAATCTAGAGCATTTGTTTTCAGAAGTCATTGTATAGAGAAAAAAAGTTTATTGTTCGTTGGAGATATTTATGACGCCGTATTTTATACGTACTTCGTTGCTGAACGGCTACTAAGCGCGGACTAAGTAAAGCAAGTGCTCCGTAGGTGCACTTGATTACTTGCCAGTGGCAACCCTGGCACGGAGATCAAGAACAATGGCAAATGACATAAGTGTAATGAGCGGCGGATGCCAGATCGTAAAGTGTGCGCACGCGCCGCGCGGTAACTATGGCGCGGAACGGGCAAGTAACATGTATTCGTGCCACATGCACACAAGCACATGTAGATACTTGTTCACATGTGTACAAACATGCACACGTGAATACATGCTATGATGTTCTTTTGGCCATTATGTCCACTCCCTTATGAATACATAACATAAGACAATTTTTCTACTCCTTGAGACCGATATATTAAAACTGTATTAGATATTAGCATTCATAAGAGCTAATTTTAGATATGAATTTTCAACTTTAACTGTGAAATTAATGCACCGCTCAAATATCTGGGCGCTCAAATATTGTGAACGCCGTTTGTTAAGTTTGAGATATTGTCGACAAAGGTTGAGTCAACAAAACGTGGTTGAACTATGAATAACTGCAACGTATCTCATTTTGGGGTCGTGATTGTGAATGTTAGTGTATTCCCACAATCCGGGTAGTTTAAAAAACTATTTAATCGATAGAATCCATAAGCAGACTCATGTAACTTACGTATCTTCCCTTGACACTAATCGGTTCAGTTTAAATTACGTTTAATTTTTAAGTTTATCTTCTCAGTTGAAAAAAATCAAATGGAAATCTTGTTTTACTCTCATATAAGTTCTGGTCGTCATAAATCATAAAAAGATCTCTTTCTCTCTATGTTTATACGTGAAGAACTTCTGCTAGCAAATATATATAATTGTGCTTAATAGCAAATATATTTTATATTAATCCAACCAATAAACTATTAGATCCCGCTGTGTCTATCTTGAGAACATGCAGTGGTACATGCGCATAATTCCAACCACACTGTGGAATCAATTTATTATACCTACTTTTTATTACAACGAGTGTAGGACCTCCGTGAATACCTTATTTTATTTATAGCAAAGCTACACGTTTCCTTTGTATCCAACCTCCTTCATAAAGTTCCGTTTGAGCGCTGAAACTCACCTCGACAGGATCTTCGAAACGCAGCCGTGGGATACCCTCAGCTGTCTGCTGATGTCGCAGGGCCTGACCCCACTATGCGCCAGCTCGACTATCCGCTGCCTCACCACGTCGGGCAACGGCCTCCCGTTCACGAACACCCCGCCGAGCTGGTTCACGCCGCCGTGACCTGCAAGAGGTCTCCTAAGTTATGTTTTCCTGGTACTTCGTTAATTAGCTAAACATACCATAGCGAAGTAGCTCAGGATCGTACTTCGTGGCAGTCTATGGTGGAGGTCTATGTTCAGCAGTGGACTCAAACAGGCTGAAATGATAGTGATGACCATAGCGAGCATACCATCTACAGTTAAACACCCCCCACCAAGTGGTGTAGTAAGCCATAAGCGGTTGGTGACGTGTAAAGCGTAAACAATGATCCAGTTCGAATCATCGTTAAAACGTTATTTGAAATTGTCAACAGTTTGTTTGCTGTAAAGGACATAACAATAGATTCGCCAAGCATTGCTTAAAACGTGAAAAACCATATAGATGAAATACTTTATGATTTTCGTTGGCGTGACAATCAGCCGTTTAGCTTAGTGGTTAAGCGTCTGGGCGTAATTCCGGAAGACGTGGGCTCGATTTCCGCAGCGGCGATAATCTTTTCGTCCATTTTTATACATAATTTTATTATCTATGGGATTTTAAAAAAGTTTTCTTTCAAACTAAACCCCCCACCAGTGAAGCTCTTGGGCAGCAACACATTCATAAATTCACACTTCAAACGGGATTCCTTTTATGATTGATTTTCAGGCTAAATTTAATTTATATCCCTTTACGAAAATACATACCAATGATCTTCGTATACGATATTCATTATCATATTCCAGTTAATCCAACTACATCTAACCAGTGCACTACGCCAATTGACTACGACCCGTCAACCATCATCTGAGCATTATTTAATTGTATATACATCGACTCTTTACTTCGTTGTCTACTTTCATATTCAATCAATAAGGCTATGATTACAAAGAATCAATATCTACAACTGGTTTGCGGATTCGGAGCGTTTAATTAAGCTCGCGACTTTCCGGGTACATTGCGGGGTTAGTGGTCCTCTACCTTTTCCGAACAATCAAAATACGTAAAGAAATTTATTTCATAAACTAATATATGTTTAAAGTAATGTCTTTTAGTTTTTTTGCCATATAGATTTAAGTCTGCAGCTCGAGAGCCGTACACACGGCGACTGAACCAGAGGTTCGATGAAGAATGTACACAATATTGTGGGAAATAGCATAATTAATGATGCGCACCGTGCGGCCATGAACCGGGTATCGACCAGGCGCCCGGGTGGAACCGGGCGTGCCGGCGCACCCGAGCAAAACCGGTCGCGATCGATGCCCGTGCGTCGTAGGGCGCGTCGACAGAGGCGCCACGCTATTCGGTTGAGAATTCGTAAACCGGTCAAGTTCGTTTACGTTAAGGTTTTCGGTTTGGATAATAACCGGATGCAGCTCGTTTTCTTTCTTTTTAAATAAATATAACAAATGAGTTGCAACATCGTAAACCGGTCAAGTTTCATCCTGCCAGGGTTTCGACCTTTGTCCATATTGGATACATCGGATATTCAACCAGTTTACCTGATAGTGAGTAACCTCTGTCACACATGGACGTTGACCTAACCAGAAGGGTTTATGTGACAGTGCATCTCAGACCAAGTGCTCAATACATATAAGAATACATGCTCACCTCTACTATAAAATGTTAATTTCAATAATGTGACGTTCTTTTTTTTTCAAATTTTATACAACGAAGAAACCTTACTTTATTCTTGAAGTGGCAAGCTAGCGGGCGTTTCACATGATGTTAAGAGATAACTGCCACTCGCCCCTGTTACTCACCAGACGAAACATAGAAGTTAAACTTTCACCTATCGCTGGTCTTCTGTGAGGTCGTGGTACTTCCCCGTACGGACCTGCCTATTGGTGCAACAGCGAAATCTGTTGTCTGGCCCAACAAGAGTTAAAGATAAAGTTCATAAAATCATTTTATTACACATTAACGGGTACGGATTCTCTTTCCCTAATAATTATTTAAAAACCTGCTATGTATTGGAGCCCATACAATCATTGGAGTAGAACCCCGTGAGAGCATTTAACGTGGGATTTTTATGTCTGTTTCTTTTTTATTTCGCAAGGACTAAACAGATTAAAGAAAACCTGGAATATAGATAGCTAAGTCATTAGATGAACCATCGTTGCTTGTGTTCATTAATTTTTTTTTCTTCAGGGACTTCAACATCACAATAGAAAAGAGTTAATTAACTTCGTTATGAGTTCGCTCATTTCATACAGATTAGAAATATTAAGTACTGCAATAAATTGGTATAATATTCATCGTCATGCGAAACATCATGCTAGCAACGTTAACATTATATTTATAAAATTATATATCGAAAACATTAGTACCAAAACCAGACTCAATATAATACGACAGAATAAAAAGGTAGAGTACTAGTCAATGCCTCCCTAAAATAGTTTTATTAGTAATGTAACATGTGATTTTGTAATGACAGCTACTATAATTTCGATTTAATAACATTCTCGTAGGCAAGTTTTGATAAGTATTTACTATCCGGTATCAAAACAAACACCCGGATGTGCCCGGTTGTATCGATTCACCCGGGTAGGCGGGGCGTGACCGATCGATGTAGTCGTCACGCCTCGTGCGCCCCCCACCCGGGCATACCCGGCTCTGCCGCGAAAGTGTTTCTTAAAGGTCCCCTACTAAGATATCCGCGTTACGATGGCGTGATATTCGTCTGAACCTATATTTAAAACATCCTATATAGGTTCTAATAGAATATGAGGTATTTACATATTTAGATAAATACAATAAAAGATTACATCTCATCCAAGGGGTGTATTTTCTGAATTGTACGAGTGATCGAATGAATGGTGTTTACGGACCTAGTGCTTTGTTAGTATGGTACGATAATAAGGATGGTAAGTTTGTATAGTGTTAAGGATGTGAATAAAAGTTAAGTAATTTTGTACTTTTCCTATGTCCATATATAAATCGTGATACAAATGAACTTGACTCATATTTCTGATATAGTACTAACAATGTTCCGCCAGACACGTCTAAGTTTGTGAAATGTTGACTAACATTTTTAGAGCAGCCATTCGACAAGCTACTTTTAATTGATAACTTTATACAATGTGTTGTATAATATCAGAATTACATACAATGTTTCCATTTGGCAATTATTTCGAGATGTCCTCGAAGAAGGTAGATTTCGAAGAAGATAGATTCTGGTAAACATGCTTTCCTTTTATTCCAATTGGTGTTTTGTTACCGACCTAATGAATGATGAAAGCAAATTGAAATAATTGCTCAATCCCATACCTAATAATAATAAGTCAAAACACCGGAAACTCCAGAGTTCCTACGGTTATTACTTAAACATATTAAAGCCAGACAAGTTCCCAGCCTTATTAACATATTTTAATTTTTATAACGTATATATATGAAAATTAACCTATTTTGCACCGACTACCCTAATATTACGAATATGCGACGACCCCCATAAGGGCGGCGGCAGAAACAACTAAAGCCCCCGTAACGTCTACTAATTAAGCGTAATGGCGGACAAGATGGCGCGCCGGATGCCGGGAAGCGCGGGAAACTCGGCCGCCACTCGGCAGGTGTCGCCGCCATAGTTCTCCGTATCCGGTAGGAGCCGATTCACACCGAGCGGAGGGAATCGTTCGAGAGTCGTGTCGAATTAGAGAAAAAAAAAAGACAATAGACAAACAATACAATCGGATGACGTTCATATTTTTGTACAGAAGTTAACAGAGCTCTCTGGCTGTTTTAATCTCTATAGCTATCATGGAATGAGTTAAAAAAAATTGGGTGGATTTTGCACTGGCAAGATATACATATAGTTTTTAGATCATCTATTCAATACACATCGGCAATTGATGTGTGACAACGATTTTTGCACTTGAGAAATTTGACAAATGGAACGAAATTTTGAGGTATGTTATTGGTATTGGTTTGATGATATTTTGTGGTGTGTTATTGGTATTAGTTATGGGTTTCAACCCAATAGTCTTACTTAACTCGTAGGATTCCAATTGGTACGCTACTTTTTACTTATGGTTTCCTTATAGTAAGATGTCATGGGTATAAAATTTATTGAACGTTGGTAAAATTCATTAGGTTTTTAATTATGCTTTAACTTTTATTAACTTACAACTCTAAAAACAACTCGCGGATAATAAAGTGCTCTTTTTCGATTTGCTTTTTAGTTATATCTCCCCCTTTATAAATTATGATTTTTAAGTTAAATCCATTCGAAAAAGTGGGTAAAGAAAGTTCAAGGTATTTTTTCAAATACCATGTTTTATATTGATACTCGTATATTGTTTCTCAATTCAATTTTATAATAACACGATTTAAACAACTTGTTATAAGCAATGTAATAAAAACACTTACGGTAGTAAGTCTATAAAATATGATTTTGGTTAGTAACAGTAAAACAAAGTAACGTCGGTAATTTATAACTTTGGTAATTTTGACTGCTTGATTTTTGTTTTATATATATTTAGATTGAGTTGCTGCAACGGATATGTGAGTTGCTGCAACCAATATCAACTGATGAAAAATTATAAAATTAAGAGATGAAATAGTTCGCGGTGTACAGGGCCCTATTTAATCTGTGGTCGCGAATTTAAAAGTTAAAAAGCAATGGCCGCTCTAATTTGATGCGGAGGGGTGGGCGCGTCCGGTCGAGTTTCCTCTCTGGTGGAATTTCGAATTTGGAATTGTGTTCGAGAGTTCCCGTTTGATGTTTGATGAATCGATTTCGAAGTGCACAATGGTACATAGAGTGTTTTTCTTAACTAATGCGAATTTTATACATTACATTGTTTTTGGAATTTTATAGCTTCATGAAAGGTGGATAGCACCAACTTCTGCCTACCGAATCTTACTTAATAGACCTCAGAGTTTGTATTAAATGTTTTGCTAGTCACGTCTGTAATTTATATCATGGTAAATACCAAGTCGTTTTTGAAAACAGCTACATGAGTATATTCAACTAGTTCCACTCAAGCGGCTTTCAAGTTAAAGCTAATGAGAATGATGGAATGAGAGAGGTAACAACTAAAAATTGAGAACAACTGGACAGTATACAGACAGCTAGTTAGTAAATTTTAGAAATCGTATTAATTATGTTTTTATAATTGCCCAATAAACTGGCCTTACGGGAAAAATAAACTTTGCTTACTGACATTTCGTTGATGGCGCCATAAAATTTGACGTTGCTTCATTCGGATTTCAAGATGGCGGCATCGAATAAAAAAAGTCACATGTGTCTGAAGGGGACAGAACTCGTAAGATTTAAAGACTCGAAACGATCTGTAAGAATGAAATTGCCGAGTCTGTAATCGAGCTTATCCCTGGATTTTGTCCCAATAGCCGAATCTGGCTCCGAGCCGAAACATAACTCCGCATAATTCCGTCGCCGTAACGATTCAGCCTTCCAAATTGTCACAGTAAATTTGTTGGAGGTTATCTGTGCAATTGTTACAATAAAAACGTTGAACGTTATCTGTGATGTTGTATTAACGAAGTCAGTAAACTAATGTTACGTAACGCCGAGTTATTTCTGTTACTTAAAGTACGAGTAACTATTGTGTGGTTTTTTTTTTAATCTAGAAATTTACTGCTTTGGATAATTTTAAACTATTCGTAGTCAAAATATACATATTGTTATATTTTCCAGAACATCCGAAATTTGATCCTTATCTACTTACTCCGAAAAGCGATTCTATTGAAAGCATCTCTCCAACACCCACAAATTGTCATAACAGCGTTAGAGGCACTTAGAGGCAACGCAAAGCTCGTGGCTTTGCCCGCCGTTCCTGCACTACGGCGCGAATTCCGACACACAGACACACACACACGCGAACCGTCACGCACCACCGCCCTCCCTCGGCAGGATTCCACCGGCGGACGGCGGAGCCCTAATGCGCAGGTACTGCATAGGAATCCCCCGTGACTATTAAAGGAATTCATGCGATATCGCGTTGGAATCTCTTTGTATAGCAATGACTCGCACGACAAGTTCCGCCGAGTGTTAGTCTACTGCGATGTTTCACGCGCCTTAAGCCTGTCATAGACATCAGAGAGCTGTCGTTTTTATCACCATAGTTCTTTCTGCAGTTAAGCTTGTTGAGATCGACAAGAGGCTGTTTTTACTACCAAATGTGTTTAACGTAGCAAGTTGCAAGTGAGCTTGGCAGAATTACGACAATTAATTCCTCTTTGAAGCAGTTAGGTTTTTTATAATCAAGGACACTATGAAGAACGGGTATGAACCATTGTTTGTCTACCAACCTATTGGAAGACTACTTAACTTAATTGTATATAATTTTCGGGGCCCTAAGGTCCCATCACTTAATTTTTCGAAATTTATTAGTATTTTATTTAGGCAAAATTATATGAAGCCAATCTTTAAGGAACCGGCTGTGACCTCTATCCATACACATCGTTAACGTCCCTGGTACGTCATAGCAATACCCTTAACAGCCATTAAGCAAAAAGTTATATACTATTAATAAAGACACACAGTTGTCTTGCAGCAGACGAAACTCAAAATATAACTTCTTCCTACCAGGCCATAATATCCAAAAAAAAGAAAATATAACTTCTTCCCTACGCCGGTTTCTATCGCTTATAATTCGATTTATAAATTATTTTGAATGAAATGAATATTCCTGGTACCAGGACAACATATGAGGTGGCGTCTCGCATGACTAGTCATGGCCGGCCGTTAAAAGTTGTTTATGTAAACATCTCAGATGGTCATTGTAAAATATCGCTGGGAAAGCCATTCCTGGCTTAATACGTCGTTGGCGTAAGAATTCTTAAATGCCACGCGTTTTTGCGTGGTCTGCTATGTTACTTTTTCTGTGCTCTTTTGTCTTTTCTGGTGTAACAATCGTTGTACATGTCATGATATCGGCGTTTTGTTTCTCTAACTTACAATGACATTACTTTTAGCGACTGTTATTCATCCTTAGGGGAAATGCAGTGAGATAAGTCCTATATGACTTAAAAAAATATTATGGCACTGAATTGTAAAGGTGAAAATTTAATTTTAACTACAGCTCAGTTTTATTCTGTAATAGAATTTAAATTAATTGAAAAGAATTCTCCCTGTAATAAGAATAGACATGAAAATCCTTACTAAGATTATTAACGCGACAGTTTGTATGTATGGGTGTTTGTTACTCTTTCACGCAAAACCTACTGAATAGATTTTATTGAAACTTTACAATGATATAGCTTATATCAGAATAACACATAGGCTATTTATAAAGATATTTTGTGAATTGTTCAAAATGTAACAATAAGTGTCAAGTATGTTTAAAAAAATTCAGCCATCTGCGATATATTCTGGTGTATAACAAAAATATCGTTGTTAATTCCCTTGACCGCGCTGGCGAAGCCGCGGTTAAGATTTACTACAGAAATAAACCAGACTTATAATTTGGTAATTTTATAAATATAATCAATTGTTGTCAGAAGTCGCCTCTTCGGCGTCCTCCTAGACATTTCTATATATCTCATTTACCCTCCACATTTCAGGTCGAAGATGTCTCCATCTTTTAGTTGGTCCCCCTTTTTTCTTTATGTCCCTTATTAGGCAATCGGTTAGGCATAGTAGTGTAGGTAGTATAATAATCGCAGGATGAGGCTGCCTCCAGTGCGATCAGAAGTTCTACGGCGTTTCCCACACCATTCCCTTATTACGCATATCCCATATAAAATGCCAGAATGGGTGCGCGCCCGCGCATGACCGCGAGCAAGTAAGGGTCAATTCACATCAAGGTGGAAGCGATAGCGGGAAACCGATGTACTGAAATTAGAACACTATTTTCTATGTTAGTTAATACATTCGTTAGTTCGCCTGACAAGTCACAAAAAGTTAAAGATTCCTTACCTACAGAGAGTAACTTAGTTCATCATGCGACCCCCCTAAGGATTGGCAGACCTGACATATCTTTGAAATATCTTGCACCTAGCACCGGGAATCGAACTCGTTTTGCTCGAGTATATTGAATTAAGCATGAGCACTCCCACTCTGAGCTATCACGGCTTGAGGAGTACCTGAATTGAATAGTTTTAAGGGATCATAACTGTTAGTGGGCCACCATGAGAACAACTTGCACCATTGCTGGATACTGTCGGCAAAAGTTGCTCAGTTTTCTCACTCGTATCGACGCAAAAGTATAGATAATTCAAATACGTGATGTTTTGTTAAAGCCCCATCATTTTGTAATCCTTCTTTTGTATTGCAAGAGAACTTTGTTAGTAATGATTTGAAGTTCAAAATCTGAAACTACCCTCTCTATGCGGCCAACATCTTGGTGTGAATCGAGCCTTACAGCAATCCTTGGTCGGGGCATGCCAACGTTTTAATTAAAGCCCTCTTATCTGATGACTCCTTGAACGGTTTATTAATAGCCCTATTGTGGGTGCCAGTTAAGGGATTTTTTATCAATCCATAAAAAATAAACTAGTTTTTAGCTTGTAATGGATATCAACTTGTAAAAAATATAAGTAATATCATTCAAACTTTTTTTATGTAAGACGATGGCAAGCGAGCTGGTGCTGCAACCGATGTTGAGCGATACTTCCCCGATGGACATTTGCAACACCCGTAGGGTTGCAGATGCGTTGCCACCTTTTAATAGAGTGGGTCCACTGCCACCTCGCTCGCCAGACGAGACGCAGAAGTAACACTACCACATCACGCCGTCTTTCAGCGAGGTAGTCGCATTTCTCCGGACGGACCTATCCATTCGTTCAACAGCGACGTCTGTTACGTGTCCACATCACTGTAAAACTTTGCACTACATGCACCTGTAAGTTTAAAAAATTTTATATACGACACCGAACTTAGACAGATATGCAGATAGATCTGCGAAGCGAGGTGCGGAATAACAATATCCAGTAACCAATTCTATCTATCGATAGTTTTGGTAACTGGAGATAGAATTTTGACAAAAGTATTATGGAGCTAATGTCAAATAAATATCTCTGGTAACTAAATGTATCGGTAGATAGAATATAGAGAAACCGGCCATTAAAAACACAATGACCACCTATCACTCTGACGTTTGCGTGTTCGAAAACAAAAACTTTATAAATAATTTCTATTAGGCAACACTATTCAAATTTCCCGGAACGGGCATCCGTTTATTTCCGGTGAGGTTCAACGCCGAGCAATGCTCAGTCCGACGGGTGTGTAAAGAGGTTTATATGTGACTCCGGTTTTCCGCCCACCATATTGCTATTTATCTGTAATTACTGGTAGAACACATTCATTTCAATGTCCAGAGACGTTATGTATGCACTCGAAATAATTGCTTTAGCTAATTAGAACAACGAAAAAAAGTTAACACATAACTTCAAACAACTTCACTAAATTTGATCATAATTTACTTGTGTTATTCAAGTTTTTTTTGTATGATCCCTTTCTAAATTTTTATATTGTTTTATTTCTATTTTTGGTGTTTTATTTATTGTAATAACTTATTATTATTTATATATTTGCATAAACCTTAAGTTTGTATAATTATCCTTCGGTAATAACCCAGATAGTTGCCTAATTTTTTTTAATTCTCAATTTTAACCGTGCAACACTTGATTTATTAAATAAAATAATCTTTATATTTTAACCTTTTATACGAACTACGCAATGAGGCAAGATTTTAAAAAGATACACTAATTTGAACCACATATTTGTAGCCCGGATAGCTCAGTCGGTAGAGCATTGGACTTTTAATCCAAGGGTCCAGGGTTCAAGTCCCTGTTCGGGCGAGTACTTTTTGCGCGTCTCAATTGTAACATGAAGATGTTTATACGAGTCGTAAATAAAGAAAATTTAGTTTTGAAGTTATAACGTACACTTAACATAATAACTATTATTTTGTCTAGAATGACATGAGACGAATAATTCGTTATTAACTCTAGTTTTGTTATAATTACAACGGTAAGTAGTAAATACTAGCATACCCGAAGTGACTAAATAATTATTTTTTCTTTTAAACCGATGAAGTTCATTACAATTCTCATCTTTTACAGCTATAAAGTTTAAGCTTAAACCCTATACATACGTCATCATTCTAAGTAAATAATTTTTAGAGTCGTGGCGGCAAATATTTCGTAGACTCTAGAAATATCTGAACTACTCAAATAAGCCGGGAGACTTTTATTGTCTCTGCCGTAATAATAAAAAAACCAGTTCACCAAACGGGCGACGGGCAACGCGGCGTTCTAGAAATGAAAAACAAGATGGCGCCCAACAATGGCGTCGGCCGAGCATCCGGTCAGAATATGGTAATTGCGTTTCCTCTTACATTTCGGACATTGTTTCGATCCTTTAATGTTACAACGTTCCGTTGACTGTATTATTTCTGACGTATATATAATCATTAGTAAATAGTGAGAAGTGTAATAAGAAAATTATCATCACATAGTATAAATCAAAGCCGTCCCGTTGTCTGTCTGTCCCTATGTATGCTTCGATCTTTAAACTACGCAACGGATTTTGATGCGGTTTTTTTTTCCTAGATAGATTGATTCAAGAGGAAGGTTTATATGTATAATACATTGCACCCTCGCGGTCGCTAGTTTATTATAAATCCGAGATACATTATCATTTCTTTGCTACTTAAATCAGTGTCGTCCAGGCAAGAGTGAATATGCCTAACGTGCTATATAAGTATCATTTAGAATGGTTATCCGGTTAAAGTTTCGGGAAAGTACATAGTACAGAATGGTTCGTTGAAGTAATATTTATTCACATTTCCCTTGAAGAGTGGTTAAAAATGTATGTGCTGTGCAAGTATTCAATGTTGTTTTAACCAATTCGTGACGAAAGAATTACCGTCATTCAAACTGACATTCCTAGTAATACGTAGATTACAGAACAACAGTTCTACATTATGTTAGTGTTAAATATAGATTAGTAGTTTATTATTTCAGTTTACAAGACCTAAGTTCGTCTTTTATGTGATGAACTGATCGTTTTTCACATTATTTCCAACCCAAAAATTATAAAAACTCCGATAAAACTTCAAAGCGATTTGATAACGCTAAGCGGTTCCCAGAAACTCCAGTGTACCATACTTTATAGTAAAAATATAGCAGTCGATCCACCTAAAAACTGGAACTATTAAAGCAAATGATTTAAATCGCTAATGATAAAAAACGACTTCCTCTTACATTTTCATAATGTAAAAATGTGACTCATACATTGTACAACAAATGGTATACGAGCACAATGGTCACACACACACGCTCACGTTACATACGCGCAGCCATAAGACACCGCGCCTTTGACGTGAATGACATTAGCATTACAATAACCACCCCCAACGAAAAGCATACTCTAATACAACCGCGTAAGGCTTAAGTTGCGGCACAACAAAGCCGGCTCCGGCAATAGCGCTCCGTAGAGCAACACGAGACAAATTACCGCACGCACACACGCGAACCACTACATACACCCGCGCGTGTATACGGTGTTCACATGCGCCGTACTAACACACACGCAACGGCGCCGCGATTGGCCAGCCCGGTCGGCGCGCGCGCATACACCACAGAGTATAACACGTCGCTCTGCTAAAACTGGTACGGTTTGTAATAGCAGAGATTTTAGAAAGGTGGTCCGGGCGGTCGGTTTCGAAACCGGGCGACCGATGGCGGGTTTCGTTGCGTCGAACGTTATATACAACGGTTATGTAAACGCGTTGCATATAATCGCGCCGATCGCTCTATCTGGGTAATTAATCTGTGCGTCGGGTATGGCTGGAGAGAAAAAAGCAATCGTCCATCCTACGGCAGTGATGCTCCATGAATGGTTAGTCAGCTTATCACTGCTGTGAGCGGAAACAGTTATGGACAACCCTAATAGTTGTTTACTATGGGTCGACGCAGATTTGTATCTTTATTGCTGGCCAGTTACGCTCGGGCGATGTAGATATGACGCCGCCACAGGTTTTCCGTTAAGGAAATAAGCTTTTAGATCCCATATACAGCGTGTCGTTACCATCGCGACAATAAATGAACACACGTCTAAAGCTACTTGTCAGTAATCATAAAAAAATATTAACGTTAAACAAAATCCATAATTTAAAAAAATATTTTGAAACAAATTAATTAAGTAAAAAAGAAACAAAACTTGTGATAGGATATACAACTCGCGCCACAGCGTCGCATTACAAGCCTCTCCTTCTAACAATATGTTTTGTCTCTTTTAAATTCATTCAACCCATTCATATGCTTTGTGACCTTTATTAATGAACTTTACGTTATAGTTTCATACGTAAGGGTGTTCTAAAATTGTTTGTTTTGGAAAATTTAATAACTCGGTAAATATTGATGTTTAAAGAATGTAAACGTTTAATACAATTTTAAAAAGTTATCCTCTATATGTGTATTCATTTATTGTCGCGGTGGTAACGACACGCTGTATATACAAATTTAATGTAATTCAAACCCTTATGACCTAAACACAGTATTTACAAACACAGTGCCTAACCTAACCTATTGAGGTAAATTTTGGAACTTTGATGTTTTCACTAAAATCTAAATTTGCCCGTATCTTTTTATCGTGTTGACTCAGGACATTGATTTGAATGTCACACGGACTATAGACCTCAGTATCTGGTTTAAATTTCATCTCGCTATGTCCAACCGTTCCTGAGAATATTTTACCGATTAGGATGATAGATTAGACGGAGGTGATTATTTCCCAGTTTTATTGTGGCGGTACAATGGGTAGGTACGGAACCCACGACGAACGAATTCGACTCGCACTTGACTGGTTTTTGGTTTTCTTTTTAATTTTCATCGCAGATCCGTTCTAAAATTCCAAATCGTTATCCATATGCATTGCATTAGAAACGGGATCGTTACATTAACAAACACAGCTATTGATATAGACATGAAGCGTTCGTGATTCCTTTAATTAACGGGTTTCCCGTTCGAATATCCTGCATCAATAACTGCTAATGATACTGGTATGAATATGTGCCGCTCGCTAATAGAGATGTTTCCTCCGCGTTCGCTGAAACGTTTTTAAACAACGACTATATGACTATTTATAGAAGCCGTTAATGCTTTTTGTGATTCCCTTTAACATATACATTTATCAAAGGATTGCGCTCGCGTGATGTAATGTCTATCTTTCTCCATCTTTATTTTTAAACATTTTGGGACACATTTTTACACAATTTTCTCTAGTCCCAAAATAAGCAACGCTTGTACTATGGGTACAAGACTGATAAAATATATACTAAAGCATACTTTTGTTTTGTAAACAAATACATGTACGAATGGGCAGGATCTTTGAAATCTTTGAAATATTGTCAACGCAGGCGTATAAGTTATAAGTAGCATAGAATCTTTATCCAGTTACTGGTTGTCGGTATCCATTACCGTATTTTTACCAACGACGTATTTAGTTTCAACTGAATAATTAATAATACTAGCCAACTATCTAGAATTGACTCTTACTATGTATTCTTCACGCCATGAAATAATTTTTATAGTAAAACAATGTGGAATCCGAGTATGACATAACTTCCACATAAAATCCCGTTCGGTGTATCCTTCTCAAGAAAAATCGACATCCGAACTGTCGATTTCATGTAACAAAGTAATGCGTGAATTAAAAGTGTTTCCAACACTTTAAATTATCACGTAGAGGAAGAAAAGTCCCTTCCGTGTAGGATATAAATACCTAGGTATAGCGCAGTTAGCGGTAATAAATCATTCGTTTAACGGTTCCAAATGAGAATATTTAACAGTCGATACAACAAGGATTTTAATAAAGACAGATTTTTTCATGCGTTTCAGAAATTCCAAATTAGCACTGGCCCAAATCTGCTAAAAATGAAATTCACAAAACGTCTTATAAGTGGTGAATTACTTAAAATGGTAATTTAAATAAATAGAACGCGGAATAAAGACACATGTGTCGATATATTTGCTTGCGTGCGATCAATGTTACATATATTGGGATGCTGATGTGATCTAACGACAAATCGTCAGATCCGCCATTTTAGGGCACAGACAGCCCGCTTGTCCGCGGACTAGGCAACGGCACGGGCCGTGCAGCCTCCGGCATGCCCGCGAATTTGAGAGCGGCCGACGCACACAGTGACGGCAGCCCGCCCAACGTCCGCGGGCCAATCGTCGCGCCCCGTTCGCCCTGCGACACGCTCCGCGCCCCACCATTGGCCGGCGCGTAACCATCTCGCGCGCCCGCCGCCCCCATTGGCCGATCTCCGGGAAACGGCGGGAAACCTTTTCGGGTGGAGCGAAATCTCGGCGTCGCAGATGCGCGCCGCTGTTACGTGGTATTTTATGGCGTCGGGGCATGATTGCGCGCGGTTTTTATGTCCGCCCGCCGGCTATGATAATCTCGTTATGGATGTGCCGCTTGTTTTTGCATAATGGCGGGCGGGGTCGTCTGCTTTTTACCTCATCCGGCTCTTGAGGACCTTTTGCTTTTTTGATGATTTATCGCGTAACATCGTCGCCAGCAGTTTATTGCGGGCTTGCGAGAAAATTATTTAAGTTCTAAAAACCGATCCTTAGTAACAAATTTGAAACATGATGAAATTATAATGTATTGAAAAATGCATAGATCTACAGCCTATAAATATATTTCTACACTATCAATAAACACATTGTATTTTAGTCGAAAAAGACTATTCAATAAAATAAATAACGTTTTCGGTCACTGTTCAGCATTAAAAGGCTCTTTATTTGACTGTCGAGCATAAACTCATTCTACTTGACTTACATGTGTAATACTCCATCATGTTCTGGTTGTATCTGTACGCGGCGGAGAGGTCAACGCCCCCGCCGGCCCTCAGCCCGAAGAGGGCCGCGAAGGTGGCCTTGCTCTGGCCCTCCAGCTTGCCGAGCTTGCACCCCACAGCACTGACACCAAAGTCCCTCTAAAGCACTAAGGCACTAACACGAGAGTCCTCCCAAAGTCACCACTGTACCTCGCACTCAAGTAATCATTCCGCAGTTTACATGTCAGAAAGCCAATATGGCGACGCTGGACACGGAGTAACCGCGAAATCAAACGTCAAACGAATGCATAGATAAGGCTCTGAAAAAATGTAGATGTGATTCAGTTATGTTCTTTGACTAGTTTTTTTATTTAATTGTTTATCAAAAGGCCAATACGATATAATACATCAAATGATTTCATGGCAAGGGTTTTTAATCTTTTGATTTCAAATGTCATCATTCCGAACGTTACAGAGGCATCTAAAGCCAATATGGCGTCGCCTGACACGAAAAGGCGGCAAAAAAGAACGTCAAATGTTTTTTTTAAAAGGTCTTGTTACCAACGTATCTTAAAGCCGACGTCAAATGATTACTTACATAGGTTCGGAAGCGGTTTTTTGCGATGTTACGAAACATCTTAAGGCATTTCTCTTAACGATTCTGCAAGCTACAGCAGTCTCGTTATCTGATCACGGGAACCGAGTGGCGTCGGTTTTAAAGTTAATTGCACAAAACGTGTTCTGTTAGACGGAATTACTTTGATACGAATCTAGAGCGTTGTAGAGTACACCACGCACATTTCGATATGACTATGTTTTATTTCTGCGTAACAATCAGATAAATACACTTGATTAAGATTACTTCGTATATTAAAGCATTACCGCTTGTGCATTGAAACATGAAATAACCGTTATTAATAACGGTTATTTCATGTTTCGAAACGTTAGCAGTTTAGGTCTTATTCATAAATCTCCGAATATATCGCTGACGGAAAACTATGTCTATATCTTCGGGTTTTGATCGAATTGCTTTTGATTGAACAATTTTCTTACCGCTACAATTGAGTGATACCTACTGAAATAACGATTTCTAAGCATTTCTGATGTTCGGCTTATAAAGAAACTCGCACCGAACATCTTGTCTTCATCATCGTCGTGTGCGGCTGAAGAATTGTCGTGAATGAAGTAGTCTATCGTATCGTTAATTGTTCAATCGTTCTACAGATGCTTTAGATCTGTACCTTGCGCAAATTATTTCATTAGCTACCATTGCCAAGTTATTTGCGAAATACGAGTCGATTGTCACTAAGCTATCTCTTATTCGACACGGCCGTTTAATCTCGATGCACCGACTGTTTCCGACGGAGGAGAGAGAGAAAAAAAAATACCCCGAATCCGAAGCGTGAAAGCGGCATAAAATCGTCGCGTCTCTTAGCCCGCTGTAAAACCGATTCGTTTGGATTAATTTCGCCGGTTTTTGGACGATTTTCCGGTGCTCGAGCACCGCTTTTCCGGTCCGCTTGAGGCAGGTGGGCCCATAAGTCGCCATTTCTCACGAGAATCGACCGTTTTCGATGGTTAGGCGCGCCCGTAATGAGGAAGTCGAAAAACGCTGACTGTAGGACCACGCAACGGTGTTCATTGTTGCACGAACGGGCTGGTCCGTCCGAGTAGAACCGCGACGTAGAAGTAGACGGTAGAAGTGTTACACTTCTGCGTTGCGTCTAGTGAATGAGGTAGCCGGGGCCCACTGTATTTAAAGGTGGCGACGCATTTGCAACCCTATGGGTGCGGCAAATATCCATGGGCGGCGGGTATCACTTATTATCAGGTGAACCGCCAGCTCGTTTGCCACTTTCTCACATAAAAAAATGCAACTTCGCTCTGTCCAACGGCGCAGAGCGCGGTTGTTTGGTTTGGACGATCAGCAGTTATCCCGTAACGGTTTCGATTTCTGCTAAGGACCGATAGCGGACTACGGGAAAGAGTTATATTAGTCTACTTTCGATGCTGCCGATTATACACAGTATGTATGTGTTCGATTCATTAATTTAATCTAGAAGGGTGAACAGTGATCGTTAATTTCAGTTTCATCCACCCTCGCATATCTCTTTCGCGATAACAATATGTAAACCAACTCACATGACATATCTCTTATTGAGTATGCCGTGTAATTTGAATTGTCCTAGCTCTCGACTTCTTTCTCGACACAATATTTGAATCACGTTGTCAGTGATATTGGCTAGACCGGTTGCCAACCAAAGTTGAACCCTCATAGATAATTATAGAGAACTAAAATACTTTTCAAAATATCATTTAGATTTTTTTTTTGTGAGAAGTTGGTAAAAGAGCTGTTGTTATAATGACCACCGCCCATTGACATTTGAAACACTCGTAGGTTTGCAGATGCGTTGCCAACATTTAACAAAGTGGGCGCGGCTACCTCACTCATCAGAAGAAACGCAGACGTATAACACTTAAAATTCACGCCGGTCTTCTGTGAGGTCGCGGTACTTACCCGAACGGACCGGCCAAGTGCAACAGCGAGGAAAGCTGCTTGGTACTACCACAGTAGAGGTCGAAATATTTGTCGGCTACTACTCTCTCCGGAGTGACGGTCCGTAACGAACCTCGAAAGCCAGTAGGTGGCATACCTCCCGTTTAATATAACGCAAGTATGATCACATTTGCGGCTCTACACAACGCGGAGGGCGCACCAAACTCCTGGGTCCCGCGAGCTCCTCGATGAAGCTTTAATAGTCTACGGCCTGAAGTCGAACACCAGTTCAAGTAACCATTTCGCTGATGATAAGTGATCTTCGCAGCTTATGAACCTTCACAGATCCAAAGAAACAAAAGCGTTTCCGGCCAGATACGAGTAAATAAGATGCTTCTACTGCTTAGTTGTTAGGAAAGAGATAACATAATTACGAGATAGCATGGCATACGATTTCTTCAGGTAATTTTTTTTTTAATTTTTTTAAATTTTAATGGAAAAGTAGGAAATGAGTGTAAAATTAAGTCACCCGATGAATATTCGCAATACCAAACGAGTAACAAAGATATTGCCAGCCTATGAGGTTTAGTTTTTTTTAATGTACTCTCTTTTCTTATTTAAATAAATAAAAATCGGTGATAGTAATTAATAAAATAGTCAATTAATTACATATTGTGACCTGTCGGTTTACGAAAACGTTACTATTTCAGATTAACTGGATCTGGAAATGACTGAATTATTTTGGTCAAATTGTTTGTATAGAATATTAGTTAAGTGAACAGTATTTTTCTATAACATTAATCAAACTCTAAAAATGGAACAGCCTTCATTCAATTCACGAGTCAATTGCCTTCTCATCAGACGTTTCTAGACTAAATGTAAGCGGTGACTAGATAGTTATGGTGTTTTGGACGTGTATTTATACATGAGGCGTTTTCAGTTGAGGCAAATGCAAAATGGTTTCGACACTAACTACGCTTTACTATCCTTTACTATCCTTCCTTAATACAAAATTTTGCAATGAATATGAAATTAAAAGCATTTTAGTACATAGGCATGAACAAATATCACTTGAATTGCGAAGCGTATAATAAATACCTATATCTACTTTTATACAAACTAGACAATAAACGTTATTACACTATACCGGCAAACTAAAGCTTTTTCAACATTCACATAACCCGTGTAGAAAAAAAATATAAACTCAATGCAATTCACGCTGGCCGAAAACACTGGTACACATATACATAAGCGAAAAAAAAAAGAAAAAAAAAAATAGTCCACACTAGCCAAAAATACTGGCAGGCGTAATGTAGGTTGGAGAAGAAAAATCGACACGATCCCTATCCCTAGCCGCGGTCCGTCACTGATTTCACGTCACTATAGAGGTTCGGTTTTCGCGCGTCCACTATTCGGTAATGAATGGAAACGTCTTAATCGCCCGCGCGGCGGTCGGTTACAGATGGCGCGACGTTTTTGAGGTACATTTTACGGTCCGCCCGCCGAGACCGATGGATTGTGACAAGGGATCGGCTTTCAGATATCGCGGGCGGCGTTCGCGGGTTTGGATTTTTCTTTTAATTCATCGTGGCGTTGGCCACGCGGCCTTCAGCCAGCCACATTCGATCATCTGATAGCGCGATCACAAACTTACGTGCGGTTCTCGTTTTTTTTTTTTTTTTTTTTTTTTTTTTTTTTTTTTTTAATTATAGGTACTCGCAGATTTAAAAAAATAATTTTGGCTGTTTTATTTCTAACAAAATTATTTACTTAGTCAATGTAATGCACTATGGATAAGGAACGTAACAGGAACTGTGTTTGTGTTGTAAATTGTTATACCATCACACTTTTTGGTAAATCAAATAACTAAATCTCGATGCTTTGTTGATGGAAGGCCATATCCCATCATCATTTCAAAAAACAAAATTATTCTAATATTGATAAAGGTTTCCGTAAAGATTATAACGAAATACTTTATTTATACTAAATAACGGATAACGGATTTTATCGCGGTCCATTTTTACAACACCTGCCGTCTCGCATGTGTTTTTTCAAAATGAATGCGAATTAAAGGGAAAATCAAATGCAAAACAATCCGTAAGATTGTCTCACGTATCGACAAAAAAAACTCGATAATTTGCTTTGATAATTTATGTTTTTTTGGCTCTGTAAATATGATTCACATATATACAAATATTGAAAAGAGGTTAAACTTTATTTTTATCTGCGTAATTTAAGTGCTAAGCCGATTTAAATTATTTTTCCACTGAGGCAAATTATCCTTAAATTATGTTTATGTTACTCAATTAAAATTGATTAAAAAACTATAAAAGAAAGTAGCCGAAAACCAAAAATATTTCATATTTGCAACGTATTTTTTTCACGGGCAAATGTAATTTCAATATGTTTTTATTTTATCGACCCTTTTATATGAATGCCCCTATATTTATTCATTCCATTTGTTCTGTTTTCTGTATTCCTTGGAGACCTTAACTCAATCCATAATTTAAAATACTCTAAGGTTAATTTCTATTTGTATATTCACAAGTTTACGAAGTTTTTATGAGTTTGCGGCTAACGTTTTAAAAACGGCGCAATACTTGAAGCGTGAAATAAATGAAATCCGTCTGATAAATGATTTTAATTAATGCTCGGATGCTCGTTATATTTGATTGCTTTTAAATCTTCGTCACATAGTAGAGTTTTATTTTGTTGATTTGACGCTGTATTTGGTCCCCGACGATGTGTGGAAATTATTCGCAACCTTAACTTAACCAACCAATTTGACTGTGTTCAAATGAATTTAATTATACTAATTTGTGAATACATATTTATTTAACGTGAATAATGCGCCTTTGAGAAGTAAAAAATATACTAGCAATATTTAATTAAATGAGAAATTGTTGTTCGGTATTAATAAAGCCTACTTTGTGTACGTCGATGTTCTAATTAAAAGAATTTATCTTTCGCATGTTAACGATCGACATGCCAGTACACTTATGTATAAACAGCACATAGACAACAACGGAAGACTATTATATAACAGGCGTATTATAAAGTCACACGGTCAGTTTCTTGCCGACATCCGACACCACGGTTTTGAATTAGACGGTCCGGTATTGGATTTACATGGAGTATTATTTTACCTACGTCCACTTTGATACCTGCGACGCACCTTGTAAATAAAGAGGAAATAGGAATAGGCAATTGTAAAAACCACAGATAATATATATAAATATAGTCGAAGTAGTTATTCCATTTCATCATTGTTTACTAAGATTGTGTTTTTTTAGCGATTTTGATACCGTTCAAAATATTTTTTTAGGAAATAAGTAGTTTTTTTGGTGTTAGTAAAATTTAATTTAAAAATTACGCCTTACGTTCAAAGACGTATAAAAGAAAATTATTTAAGATTTTACTTTAAATTAAATTCACAACACGTCCACTATTAGACTGAACACTGTCGAACAGTTTTACATAAACAAATATTTCATCACAACACTCCGAATGCTGGAGATCGAACGCGATCTTTACCGTTTTCGAAGAAATTAAAAAAAATTAAAAAATGGCGGGCACTCCTCTCAAACGTCACACATCACCACAGACGCAAAACCGCGCGCAACACGCGGGACGGTTTCGCGCGCGAACTGGCAGAACCGCGGGGAGGCCCGTTCGGCGACGCACCCTCTACGGCACGTGGCGGCAGACTGGCGCGTTCGGATACCATCCCGGGGGATGAGGCGAAATTTCGGGACAATATTTTTATGTTTTCGCCCATCTTTTGATATTCCATAACTGAGCTTTTTGTTTTAACGCGCTCGAGTAAATGATATCTTCAGCAAAACAATACTGTTTTAAGTTTTTTTCGAAATGTTATTTGTAAAAATAAATGTATGGCAGGCAAACCGTATACAGAATTTTTAATCAAGTGAATTTGTAGAATTTGTGGAAATAAAATTCAATAGAAGAAACTTCAGATTCGTATAAGAATAAATCTTATAAGAGTATCTTTTAAATCAACTTTTGAATCGTAAGCTTACGATAACTATTTC